GCTTGCGAAGCTAGCTGAGCGGCCTGAACCCTAACATCTGACACTTCTCTTACAGCCCTTTCCCTGATCCATCCGGCCTCTTGTCTCGCCTGGTCGGCGGCCTGCGGTGCAAGGCGTGATTGGCTGCCTGAGCAGCGAGGTCGGATGCTCGATGAGCTTGCTGCACCGCAGCTCCAGCAATAAATGCCGCAGCCGGTACGTTAGTCATCGGGTCGGGTACTTGCGATCCCTGTGAAGGAAACTGAATGGCTGGGGAAGCTTCGGATGATGTAGGTTCTGACACGATCGGACCACTTTGAGGGTGATGATGGTCGTGCTTGTGCTGCTCGTTGAGGTGTAGATGTGCGAACTGTGCACATAGCTGCAGGAACCATGGCTAAGTCAGGGTCATCCGGTTCAGAATCCCTATTTGGGGTTGACCTTGAACGGGGTTCCGAGGGCGGTGATAAACCCGTTGAAGCCATGACACAGCAATGCAATTTTGCACTCACACGAAGCTAGCGGAGCAGCGTGTCAAAAGGTGCTACGAGGAGATATCCCTGGATTGGCAGCTGGTTGCGAAACGCTCAAGTGAGCCACTCTGGTGCTTTATCGAAGGATGTTGCCAAGCTGCTAATGTGAAAAGTCTGCAAATCGAATGCCTGTAGCTGCAAAGATGCTGTACCGCGCAAAGCGACGGTTTTAACGGCTTGCAAAGAAAGGCTATCGAAGGACCCAATTGAGATGCAGACCGATGGAGCTCCTCGAGGTACTGCGAAGGGTGCAGGCCCCTTGCCGCCGGAATGAAAAATCGATTCCGGGACTCGATGTACTCCCCAACGTTCTCAAGCGCGTTGGCAAATCCGCTCGGCCCAAAATGGGGGAAGTTGCGGAACGCTGCGACGCCCGTCTTCTGCGCCTCGCGGACGATCGCAGCTTGATCGTCCACGAGGACGTGGGCTCCCAGCCCCAAGAGAGCGTCTGCCTTGCCGCCCCTGCCCAACCTTTCGTGTACGATTTTTATCGCAGAGAAGGTGAGTCCAGCTGTCGCCTTCGCGTGCTCCAGGGCGACCTGGAACTCGCGGCGTCGAAAATCTCTAGCTGCCCTGCCCACGAAGGATAGCACCACCAGGTTGATAGGTGCGTAGTCAGCTGCGAATTGAACGAGATGCCGGATGACCTCCGGGTTGAGGTGGGGGCCTTGCTGCCCGACGTCAAGAACTCCGTGCCAGTCAAGACCGATGGTGAGCTTTTTGGGCGGCACTGGCCTTGCAGGCGGCGGGGGCGGCGCTGGCGGCGGCCTTCTTGGTGGCGATCGAATGCGTGTGCCAGCCGCAGCGCTTGTAGCAGCTGCTTTAACGACCTGCGGCGGTGGCGGCTTGACGATGTACCCTTGTGGTGGGTTTGAGCCTGACTTGCTTCTGGGTTCGGCCTTGTTCAGACCTCGCGGAGGCGCCTTGTACCCGAAGGCACTCTGAGTCCGAATAGGAGAACTTGCTCGAGGAGGTGATTTCCTTGGAATAACTGCTTTTGCCGGTACCGAAGAAGCTGCACGAGGAAGTTCCTTGGGCAATGGAGGCTTGCTGCCAAAAATGACCTTTGGTGCGGCCTTTGGTGGCGGTTGCTGTATTGCTCCAATCCTCCGGCTATGCAAAGCAATAGGCTCAGTGTGTGTCGGTGCCTCGTATACGCGCCGAGGCACGTAAGCCGCCCTGCCAGTTGTAAGAGACTCCGCGTCCTGCGGAGGCTCCTCTTCTGAGCTATAGGCGTCGAGACGATAATGCTCCGCTGGTCCTGGGCGTCGATTTGGAGATCGTGATCGCGAGCTTGTGGATGATCTTCTTGGGGGATCTCTCCACGTCTCGTCCGCAAGCAAATACGGGTCAGCCTGACGGAGATGTCCGGATGTCCGCTGTGCTCGGCGGTGAGATGTCGCCTCACGCGGCTGTGAAGCCTCCCGAACGAGTACCCAAGTGCCGTGCTCGTCAAATCGTGTCACAGGGTATATACTGTTCTGTGGAGCCAAAACAATGGGCCGTGTAGCAGGGGAAGTCCTGGATGGTCTGCCCTCCCGCGCAAGCGCGGGTTCAACACTGCCCGATGTTCCACAGGGGTAGCAGCAGTCGGTCCTCGTCTCGGAGGCGATGGGGACCTCGATCTTTGTGGCGATGGGGACCTCGATCTTTGTGGCGACCGTTCCCTGCTGCTCTCCCGCCGCGTTTCCGCAGCTCTAGCGTATACCCCTCGAAGCGCTGTCTTGGCGGCACCTCGCAACACTTCTCTTTCCTCTGCTGATGGTCGGATACGAGGCAATGGAGTGCGTGAGTCTTGTAGCCAGGATGAAGCTGAAGGAGGCGTAGGAGGGCGTAGCCAATCCGCTGCACTGCTTGCTGCTTCCGCCGCGCCAGAGGCTGCGGCTCTATCCTGCGACTGCACACCTTGTGACAAGACCACACCTGTGGTTTCAACCGATGCAAGACGTTGCTGATAAGCGTTGTCCGCGGCCTCGATTACCTCAAAGGCTTCTTGGTCGAATCCCCACAGGTGCCAACTATCCAATGTCTCACGCCAGGAAAAAAAGGGCCTCAATCTGTTGCTTTGAGGCGTCTGCAAACCTGATCCACCGGAATCGTCTGTCCTGTCTCTTGTACTCGTCTACGACGATCTGTTGCAGGGTGTTGTACAGACGGGCACGCGGCCCTTTCCCACCGCGAGTGCCGCGGTGAGGGCCGGCTTCCATGTGCGACCAAAAGGTCGCAGTCACGGAAGGGTTGGTTTACCCGAAAAGCGTTACGGCTGATAACCACTCAAAGGAGAGGGAAACACAGATTTCTGAACAACGGGGGAACCCGGGACCTTAAAAGGAACGAACCCCGCCGTGACTGCGACCTCTCCCCTAACCTGGTGGGTAGCGCGTGCAACGCGCTCTTTTCAGCACTTGAGCCAAATGACATGCGGACATGTCATCTGTGTCTTTGACGTGTTTGTACACCATGCAACTTGTTGTACCTCTGGGCCATAAACATCATCGTCATAATTGGCTGGAACAGCGCGGAACAGCGCGGAAGAGTGCGGAAGAGCGCGGAAGAGCGCGGAAGAGCGCGGAAGAGCGCGGAAGAGCGCGGGCGGAGCAGCGCGGAACAGCGCGGAAGAGGGCGGAAGAGCGCGGAACAGCGCGGAACAGCGCAGAACAGCGCGGATCAGCGCGGAACAGCGCGGATCAGCGCCGGATCAGCGCAGATCCGCCCACAAAACACCCCCCAAGCCCAAACACCCTTCCCCAAGCCCAACCCCCCCCCCCAAAACACTCCCCAGGTGTTTGGGGCGAGTGTGGGGCGGGAGTGGGGGCCACTCATGCGTTTCGTAGCCCCTTTCTGGCTTTTTGGCGAGATCCACTCAAACTCCACTCCAACTCCACTCCAACTCCATTACAACTCCACTCCAACTCCGCTCCAACTGCAACTCCACTCCAACTCCACTCCAACTCCACTCCAACTCCAACTCCACCCCCAACTCCACTCCAACTCCACTCCACTCCAACTCCAACTCCACTTCACTCCAACTCCACTCCAACCCCACTCCAACGCCACTCCACTCCAACTCCAACTTTGTTTAATTTCATTACAACTCCACTCCGGCTCCACTCAAACTCCACGCCAACTCCAACTCCACCCCCACTCCACTCCAACTCCACTCCAACTCCAACTCCACCCCCACTCCAACTCCACTCCAGCTCCACTCAAACTCCACTCCAACTCCACCTCCACTCCACCCCCACTCCAACTCCAACTCCATTTCAACTCCACGCCAGCTCCACTCCAACTCCACTCCAACTCCCTTACAACTCCACTCCGACTCCACTGAAACTCCACTCCAACTTCACTCCAACTCCACTCCAACCCCACTCCAACTCCACTCCAACTCCCTTACAACTCCACTGCGACTCCATTCAAACTCCACTCCAACTTCACCCCACCCCAAGTCCAACTCCACTCCTCTCCAACGCCACTTCAACTCCGCTCAAACTCAATTCCAACTCCAGCTCCACTCCAGCTCCACTCAAACTCCACTCCAACTCCAAATCCACTCCACCCCCACTCCAATTTCAACTCCACTCCAACTCCACTCCAACTCTACTACTACTACTACTACTACTACTACTACTACTACTACTACTACTACTACTACTACTACTACTACTACTACTACTACTACTGCTACGACGTGCCCCCTTTTCGGCTGTCAAAAGGGGTGGCAGAAAAGGGTGGCAGATTTGGCCGCGCCCCTTTTTGGTGGTCAAGGGTGGCAGAAATTGGTGGCACACCCTTTTTGGTGGTCAAAAGGAAGCAGAAATTGGTGGCACACCCTTTTTGGTGGTCAAAAGGGGTGGCAGAAATTGGTGGCACACCCTTTTTGGTGGTCAAAAGGAAGCAGAAATTGGTGGCCACCCTTTTTCAAAAGGGGTGGCAGAAAAGGGTGGCAGATTTGGCCGCGGCCCTTTTTGGTGGTCAAAAGGCGTGGCAGAAATTGGTGGCACACCCTTTTTGGTGGTCAAAAGGGGTGGCAGAAAAGGGTGGCAGATTTGGCCGCGGCCCTTTTTGGTGGTCAAAAGGGGTGGCAGAAATTGGTGGCACACCCTTTTTGGTGGTCAAAAGGGGTGGCAGAAAAGGGTGGCAGATTTGGCCGCGCCCCTTTTTGGTGGTCAAAAGGGGTGGCAGAAATTGGCGGCAGATCACTCAAAAGGGGGCGCAGCCAAATCTGCCACCCCTTTCTGCCACCCCTTTTGACCACCAAAACGAGGGTCGTCCAAACCTGCCACCCCTTTCTGCCACCCCTTTTGACCACGAAATTGGGTCTCAGGATGGCTTGAAACATGCAATATCCAAAATGGCCATTTCCTAACTTTAAGCATTACAGGAGGTTTTCAACAAATAACCATTTTGAGGGTTGGGGGACAACCTGCACGATGCGAAGCAGCATCACTCATCCGGACAAGGGAGGCCGGTGCGGTCGAGCCCAGCCTGGGAAGAGATCACCGACTTCTCCCGCACCTCCAGGATCTTGAAATCCTCGCCAAGCTTCAGGTACCTTGTGCCATTGCGGGCGCACTGCCGTAAACACGTTTTTTCCGCTCTTCGGCGGATAGTTTTGCTGGGTTTGATCTCCCTTTCCAAAGCTGTCCCTGGGCCTGTGCCGAGCAAGCCGCGAGAAGTTGGCTCGCGGAACCCCCGTGCCGCTCACCGGCACCTTGCTCAGGTCAACGAAGACCTGGCAAATCGGCAAATCCGCTTAGAGAGCCAGTCAGAGAATTGTGTCCAAGCAGCCGAGGCGTGCTTCACCTCCTCAGAGCGGCACAGGTGCAGGAGGTCCACCCCATGATAGATGGTGCCGCAGTCCAATGTGACTAGACAGTTCCTGCTTTCCTCGCGCAAGCTGAGTGCGCCAGGCAAGATATAAACCCTCTCGACTCAAGAGCCCCTACGGAGTCTCCGGCCAAACTCGAAGCACCCAGAAAGTTTGAGAAGCTGAAGGGACCTCTGTTGGCACCCATCACCGGCATCAGCCGCATGTCCTTGATCGACATCTGCCGAGTGATGGAAAGCACTGTCTCCAACCAGCCCCGCGTTTCGAAGGGCAGCACCATGATCTTGACCACCACATCTGGCAGCATCCGCGCCAGCATCTTCTTCAGGTCGAACTGCCTGCCCCACACTCAGGAGTACCCTGTTGACTTTCAGTATTGAGGCTTTAGGGCCGTAGGGAGGGAGGTGCAAGCCGATTTCATTGCGCACACCCACCCACCCCAAACAGCCATCCATCGGTTTCTTGAGGCATATCAATCAGCGTCAACAGATATCTAGGAAACCGTGCTCATGTTCTGTTGCAGTTGTGTGAGCGTTGAGGACCAGACCATGATGAATCCAACATACGAGACTACTGTCCATTGCGAAAATCATGAGGAGCAGAACATGTTCTCTTATTTTGCAGTATCTAGGGATTCCGCGGCGCTCAGTATTACCTTGCAGTGATCGGCAGTGATCGGGGCTTTTTGGGTGTGTTAACCAATTAGCGTCTTTGACGGAGAAACCTTAAAGACACTCAACTAAACTTTGAATACTGCAAGTGGGCAGAGTACCCCCCCCCCCCTGGCCGCCAAAAACAGAACAAGTGACAAAGGTGCCGCACGCAGGAATCCGGCCCTTTTTGGCTGCAAAATAAGCTCCAACAACTTGCTCCCCAACCTAAACCGTCACTGCTCCAGCCACGCCTGAGCATGGCTGCTGGGACTGCCAGGAAGACAGAGTCCTCCTGCAGTCGGCAGACCACGGTCAGGCTTCAGGGCACGAAAACAGCAGCGCCGAAGTCAGAAGATTTGTTTGGGGCGACGAGGGGACGCGCCATCCATAGATGCGCTGCCCTCTCCTTGGTCAGACTCAAGTTGTCCAGGAGCCACAGCAACACAGGTCTGCCAACAATGTTCACCTTGGAATGTTGAATGGGAAAAGGATGCTGATGTACATGGGCGAATAGCCAACATGGCGCATTCCTGCAGATCCTGCTAAGATTCCCAAGGGCAACTTTATGTATTGCTTGACAGGCTTGCAACACAGACTCCCAGACTCCCCGACTCCGACCTTTCCAAACACTGCTTAGCGCTCGAAGGCTGCATAGGGCGTCCCTCCGTCCAAGCCACTAAAGGCTTTGGCATCCGATAGCCTGCTTCCGCAAAGTCGGCCCCGGAGCCGCCCATGGGGATGACGATGGACAAGGGCCGCTGCTGGGCATCCAATGTCACCGGCCTGCAGGGCTGTCCCGTTTCATTCGAACTATGCCACGAGATCAACCATGATCAGGATCAAAGCGCTGGGGAAAGCGCTTGGCACATGCTGCATTGGCCGCGCGGCTCGCTTGCTCACAACCAAGCCAGTGCCAAACCCCAAATCTTTGGAATGACAAGTGCAAAAAGCCTTGGTCGCAGGGAAAAGCCGCGATCTCGGAGCAGAGTGGGGGACTAGCCCTGCCTGCCACAGGGGGAGTTCTGATGAGTCATGGCTTGGAGCCGCCGCTTCATGGCAAGGAGCTCTGCCTCCTGCGGTCGACCCTTCCCAGACCTCTTGTGAAGCCACGAACAACTGGCACGAGGGTGGCAGTGGGCAAAGGGCGGGGATGCCCTGAGGCTGAATGGCCAAATCTTGCGTCATTCGGCAAGCAGGATGAGCTTAGCTTTCATCTGAGGAGCAGTGATTAAGAGGTTGCAGAATTTCAAGCCAGCACCCTTTTAACACAAATCGCAAGCCTTGGACATGGGCAAGGAACCACTGATACTACACGTGCCAAGGCCCTGCCTTGTTGCGGATCTGGCCCTGCAGCGCCAGCACATCTGGCCAGCAGGGCACGGCCGCCTCCTCCAGGGCCGGCGGCTTCTTCGCCATGGCAGCGGCGCATTGGCGGCGGGATCCCTCTGGCCAGAGGTGTGGCAACTGGCTGTGTCCCGTGGCTGGGGGCGTGAGAGACTCAACTCAAGCAGCTGTGTGGATGTTGTCGGGCGATCTGCACTCAAGATAAGGTAAACATGTGTGCGGCAGCGCCCAACTGGGGACTTGGTGATAACTTCCTCTACGATCCGAACACTGCAGCAAGGACTCACAAACCGAAAGACAAATCTCAACGCCGGCCAAAGCCCCCAAGCGACTAAGTCCCTGCTGCCCCCAACTTGCGCACTTTCAGTGTTGCCTCCCACAGGACTGCAAGCCCCTCTGCTGCAAAGCAGCTCCAGCAGCTCGGAGAGCTCGGTGAGGCCCAAGGCTGCCGTGGTTCCACCAGGCCTACCACAGGGGGCCAAAGCAGCTGGAGTTGCAACACTTTCACCTTCCAAGCCCCCAAGCCCCCAAGCCCCCAAGCCCCCAAGCCCCCAAGCCCCCAAGCCCCCAAGCCCCCAAGCCCCCAAGCCCCCAAGCCCCCAAGCCCCCAAGCCCCCAAGCCCCCAAGCCCCCAAGCCCCCAAGCCCCCAAGCCCCGCACATGTATCACCAACCGGCGCAGCTCACAGGTTTCTGGGGCCCTTGCAACCCCAGTGAGTCCAGCCTAAGGCGTTCGCAAGCCGTTGCAACAATTTCGCAAGTGCCATGCTCCGGAAAACCCGCAATGCCCAAGCAGCACACTGTTCACTGGACCTGCATCCCAGCCTTGCATATCATCCAACCGAATTAGAGCGTCCATCCTTCCAACTCTTGGGGCCACACAATGCCTTGGCATCAAGCGCCTGCCACAAGGTGATGCATCGTTTCACAAACAAACGACATCGTTAGTCCGCTGCATCCTTTGGTCAGGCGTCAGGCAGGTATGACTCATATGACCCTTATGGTAAGCGATGCTAACTGTCAATGTATGCTGAGGGTGTCCAGTCTATGCACCTGCGTGTTCGGACGTGGGGCTGACATGCACAGCGGTGCCTTGAAGCTTTCCCGCAGCTCTTGCAGCGCCTCCTCTGGGTCCACCTGGCGTGTCAGCAACCCCGGACATGATTTTGGCGTGACGGCTCGGCTGCCCCAAGCCACGCCTCCATGGCGAAGAGGGTGTCTGCCTCAAAATGCAACTCCCATGAGCCAAGCCCTGAGCAGCTAAAAGCATGAGCCATCAACAGCACCACCTGGGAAAACAGCTAATGGCAACCATCTGCATTATTTTTGGGCATTGCTGCATGTTCAACCCTCGTCCGCCTCAACAAGCAAAGCATGCAGGCACCATCCCCAGCCGCTCCCCGTTGCCAAGCCCAGGCCCTGCCAAGGCGCCACCTGCCGCGGCTTTCCATTGAGCTCCTCGGACAAGGCGTCCCCTAGAGAATGCGCTGGGTCGGTGGAGATGATCAGCACCTGCAAAAACTTGATGCGCAACACGCAAGCGGGACTGGCGGGCCTTTGCATCATGCCTTAAGGTGTCTGACTTTTGTCCTGAGAAATCCTGCCAAACTACGCTAGAAATTTTAGGCCCTGCGTGGACCCTCCACAATCTGTTCGCAAGTCGCACGCAACTTGGACGAGGAAGCTACGAGTTGAAGCTAATGTGGACAAACTTGCGGCAACTGGCTCAGGCCACTGAAGTGCTATCCAAACAGTCATCCCATCCCTGCCATCCCTTTTCTGAGAATTGCTGCCAAGTAATTCAGACAGCGTTCCTGCAATTTCAGGTGGTTTTCTGCAGCTGACACCCGACCTTCTTCCCTTGCGCAGCAGATGCAGCGGCAAAGGATGAAGATGACGAAGTCTTGCCTTGCAGAGGGTGCTTGCCCCGGCTTGTCGTCAACAAAGATTGCATGCCCTGCCGGGCCATCTGGCTGCGTGTTTTTTCCATGGGTCTTTGTGGGTGTGATTGGGCAAACAAGAGGGAGCCCACTCCAAACAAACACATCCATGCAATCCTCTCTCGGGCCCGGGCCTACGCCACCCTTCCCACCGAAGAAGACGATCTTCTGGCAGGGCTGCCCCACCTGAGCATCGCCCCGGGCTCACGGCTCCCGGCCATGCGCAGACGTCTCAAACACAAACGCTTTTGTTTCACCTGGCGCGGCGCGAACAACGCCAAAGCACACCGTAGGCACTTCAGCTCCCCCCGAAGTTCCCCTTTACAAAGGCCTATGATGCACGGCAATCGCCCTGAATCATCCTCCCCTCTGAAGCCCTCTCCCCCCCTCCCTCTCACTCTCGGCGAGATCACCCCATGAAAAATTGCATGCGATTACGACAGCAAGGCTATGACAATTTGATATTTGAGAACTCGCAACGCCAACGAAACGAAGAACTGATGGGGACGAACCTAAGACCACGAGCAAGGCAGAACAAGCCTCCGGAATCCAACTAAGCCTCCCGCTAAGGCTGAGTCGCCTGCTTGGCATGCAAGGTGCGCCAAGCGCACCCCTGTCCTTGCCTGAGATGATGAAGAGCTTTCTTGGGAGCTGGGCATCGTCTCGAGCAACGAACATCTGGTTGCACCCAAGTTTGTGAAAATCTTCGGGTTGCCCAGCGAAGTTGGAGTCGACCCCCAGCTGGGAATGCCCGACCCTGCCTTCCGTGCTCGGCGCAAAGCTGCCACCGGCACGGCAGCCACGGCCTCACAAGGCTCCCACAAAGCGCTGAATGCCTAAAGCGTCACATGTGCCGGCCTAGTCCAATTGCATGCGGCCGTTCAGCCAAGACATAAAACGCAAGACTCTTCCATGTCTAGCTTTTGCATTTGGGCATCGCCAGAGTTGCCATCAGGCACCCCGCTGAGTTTATAGCCTGAGCGCTGAGGCTGCTACTAGGCCCACAGCGCATCGCGGTGCTCTGGGCGCACTGGGCGCACTGGGCATGCTGGGCGTTGAGGCGTAGCCTCGGAGCGGACTGGCATGGGTCCATCCAGCCGGCTACGTTCCCTTCCGGATCGCGCTTGGGTCAATTAAATTGCCACTGACAAAAGAAGCTCTTGCCATCCCCCAAAAGCAAAGTAGGATCAGAATCCTGATAAATTGCCGCGACTGACTGACCCCCGAACCGGTGTGCCCGCGGCCTTTTGCTCTCGCCGGCCTTCTGCCAGCCAGGGCTCCCTCACGCTTCGTAGGCCGGCGTGCCCTACCGGAGGGCTCAGCTGTGAGAGGTCATCTTTGACATGGGCGTGCCAACCAAGAAACCAAGATCCGCCCAAGCCCCGTATGCTATCTCTCACCCCACCCCGAACCCAAGCCCCCAGCTCCTTGATGAGCTCCACCGCCTTCGTCAGAGACGCGGCCTCCGCGGCCCGATTCGCCTCCCGCTGAGCCAGGTTGGCCTTGATCCAGTCGCAGCCAGGCTTCACGTCTGCCTAGGGGATTGCCGGAGATGGGACATGAAGCCTTTTGCAGGATGCAAGCAGGTAGCCCCATCAACCCCATGAACCCCAGTTCCTCTAGCTCTCGATGGGACGTGATCGGCTGCACAAACCAAATGGAACTACAACTCGACACTAGCTTTCCCTGTCTCATGCATGAGCTACATAGGCCGATGCTGGGGACGACCATGCACAACAACATCCTTGCCATGGAAACCAAGTAGCCAAGTACTGCACCAGCGAGGTCTTCTCCTGCCTGAGCGCGAACCAAAATTGACAAACCCTGATTGCCAAGTAATGTTCGAACACAGGAGAAATGCCCTTGCATGACGAAAAGCCTCAATGGACAGCATCTCGCATTCTTGACTCTGACTCCAGGCCAGGGAACTTGGTGTCCTTGAGCATGCTGTTCTTCTCGCCCAGCTCGATTTTCTTATCCGCAATATCCTCAGCTTGCGGTACCAATTGCACTGCATGAAGAAGGGAAAAAAGAAGCAAATCAGCTGGTCAGCTCCAAACTCTCTGCTTGAGGATGTGCACAATGTAAAAGTACTGTAAAGTACTGTAAAGTACTCACTGCCAGCCCTGGCTGTGAAGTGTCGCAAGCAGACAGGGTAGAATCAAACACAAACATGAGGAGCAGTGTTGTGGATTGCGCTCCATGTCGCCTTGCTGGAGTCCGCAATGGTCTTCCTGAGCTTCTCCTCAGATTGAGCCAGCAGGTTGAGCCCATCCTCAAAGCTCGCCTGAGGCCAAGAGAGCTCAAAGGTTTGCAAATCTTCCTTGGCCCTCGCCTGCGCCTCCTTCTCGGCAACGTGCGCCTCGCTTTCCTCCTTTGCCGAGTCGTCCAAGACCTGCCCAGACAGGCTATCCGAGCGCGGGGTCACGAGTCATAGCGTTGCATGCTTCCCAGTTCCGCTTCACTTTGCTCACGCTTTGCTTTGCTCCCACTTACCGCGCCGTCTGCAAGAGCTTCAAGACTGACTCGCCCGCGGAACTCTGGCCGGTGTACTTGCCCTCATCGTACCTAGGGGCAGCACGGACCTGTTCTGGGGCAGCTCAGCCATACCAAAACCGCTGCCAAAGTATTGCGGTCTCTTCGGCCGAGTTGTGCATCCAAGGGACGAAGGGTCTGCCTGGCAGCACACAAGAAGGAATGACTCAACGAATGGATAGAACTGTGTTGCTGTGCCACTTCCAAGGGCTGTAGGAAAAGGAATTCTTGGAAAGATAAATAAGAGAAAAGATACGGACATGAATAAGATGAGGAAGAAATTCAAGCTACTTGTCCATACCCAGAGGGAAACAATTGGAAAAGCTACTGTTCCATACCCAGGGGACCAATGGCAAAAGCTACTTTCCATGCCCAGGCAGGAACCAATGGAAGGGAAACGTCAGGCAGGCCAATGAGCTGTCGTCGCTGTCATCGCGCCTGCATCAGCGCCAGCTTGGCATAGTATGCTTGCAGGACTTTCCTGAGTCGCACGTTTGCCGATGACACCAAAACAGTTGTCCTTCTGCCTGGGAAGTTCGATCATTTGCTTTGTCCAGGTGCCTCGCAAAATCCTTGCCTAGGAACATCCCCATAGCCACAAGTCAAGAGCAAAATCAACGGCTGTGGGCAACTGGGATGAAGGCATAAGGCTGACTGCAGTTCGTCAAAATGACTCACCAGCGAAGCATCCCGAAAAGTCGCAGCCGGGCGTCATCGCCTTTGTCAACAGGCCCTGCGCACTTTGCAGGTCCGCCACCTTCTTCCTTATGCGCGCGGAATGCATTGACAGGAGTGCAGTCAACGGCCAAATCAGACACAGGGCCCCATTGGGCTCTAATGGCCCGGCCGGTGGAGGTCGACGGCAGAACGACTTCTTGCAAGCTGCTGGTAGTTCCTGTTCTCAGCCTTCCGGGAGCTGGTCATCTCCTCCTGGTCCTTCTCGTTCTGCTGCAGCTCCTCCTCCGCCTGCTTCAGCGTGACCTGAAGTCAAGGCACATGCATCCCAGCCATGTGGCAGACACTGCAACCTCAGCCTCTGTCAGACACTGGAAGCTAGCAATGGAACCGAAACCTGCACCCACCTTGTGCCTGCCCAGGCCTGCAGGCCATCCACTGGGCCCTCAATGCTGACGCCCAGCTCAGTGATGGCCTTGGCCAAACAAAAAAAAAAAAAAAAAACGGACGCATTCAAGCTAAATGTGGGGAATGGGTTCCTTTAAGTTGCCGTTCAATACAGCCAAAAAGAGGTCCCCCAGTTATTGGGGCCATGAGGACTGGACCGTCCTTTGCGCGGGGGTTCAAACATCCGTTTCAACACTGCGTCGGAGCTGCCGTGTTGAGCGCATCGATCCTGCCACTCTTGACGCCCTGGTCATCCGCGTTCTTAGCCAGCTCCTAAGGCGGACGTTGGCATAAGCATGTGATGCTATATTTGGCTACATTTTGCCAAAGCCTGTCTGAAGTCATTTCAAGCAATGCCACGGAACAACTGGGGCAAGCGTTCTTACAGACCGCGGCGTTCCATAAAAGCTAGCCCAAGCAACTGCGGCGCACCAGTCGGACTTCTTCTTGTCAGCTTTGGCTTCGTCGCTGATCACCTCAATGGGAAATATGTGCATCCATCAAAAAAAAGAAAGAAAAGAAAGCAAGAGAGCGAGAAAGCAAAGAGAGAGGGAGACACACACACACACACACACACACACACACACCCACCCACCCACGCACGCACGCACGCACGCACGCACGCACGCACGCACGCACGCACGCACGCACCCACACGCACGCACGCACCCACACACACACACACACACACGCACGCACGCACGCACGCACGCACGCACGCACGCACGCACGCACGCACGCACGCAGGCACGCACGCAGGCACGCACGCACGCACGCACGCACGCACGCACGCACGCACGCACGCACCCACACACACACACACACACACGCGCATGAAGACAGAGAGAGAAACAGAGAAACAACAGAGATAGAAAGAGATAAAGGAGAAGAAAGAAAGAAAGAATTAAAGAAAGAAAGAAAGAAAGAAAAGACAAGAAAAGAATTAAAGGAAAAGAAAGAAAAGAAAATAAATAAATAAAGAAAGAAAGAAAGAACAAACACGAAAAGAAAGAAAGATTGGAAGGAAGGAAGGAAGGAAGGAAGGAAGGAAGGAAGGAAGGAAGGAAGGAAGGAAGGAAGGAGGGAGGGAAGGAAGGAAGGAGGGAAGGAGGGAAGGAGGGAAGGAGGGAAGGAGGGAAGGAGGGAAGGAGGGAAGGAGGGAAGGAGGGAAGGAGGGAAGGAGGGAAGGAGGGAAGGAGGGAAGGAGGGAAGGAGGGAAGGAGGGAAGGAGGGAAGGAGGGAAGGAGGGGGAAAGGAGGGAAGGAGGGAAGGAGGGAAGGGGAAGGAGGGAAGGAGGGAAGGAGGGAAGGAGGGAAGGAGGGAAGGAGGGAAGTAAGAAAGGAAGAAAGACTAAAAAACAGAAAGAAGGAAAGACAGAAAACAGAAAGACTGGAAATACAGAAAAACAGAAAGACTAAAAGACAAAAAGGCAGAAAACAGAAAGAAAGACAGGAAGACAGGCAAACAGCAAACTGAAGACAGGAAGGCAGAATTTCAGAAAGACTGGAAAACAAACAGACAGTTAGACAGGAGGACGAAAACAAAGCAAAAAACAGACAGGAGAAAGAGAGGCAGACCTCGACAGCGAAAGCGAAAGCGTTGAACAGTCATTGTTGCAGGCGAACATGGCCAAAATAGGCAACAAGCAAATTGCAGGCGCCCTCGCCGTCCTGGGGGCCATTTGCGCACTCAAAGGCAATACATAGCATGGGTCAAACTGCACGGGAGCTACCATAAATGTCAACCTGCAAGAACGCTGCTGCGGGACGTTTGAAGAGCAAGCCAGCTGATGGTGAGCAAAACCTTCCCAAAATGAATCCAAGACTCTTCCTGCATGGCAGCGATTTCTTCGATTACCTGCACAAAGCTGAACGGTCAATCAAATCAAGCCGCATGGAAGGGTACATTTGTTTGAGCTTGACCACCCAAAGTAGATCTACTGTCAAACACAACTTCTCCTTCAAACCGCACACGCCTGACTGCCATTCATGCAGATCAAAAAGGCACTTGGGCGCAGCGTGGGGAAAACATGGTGGTTCCAGGCAACTCCACTGTAAATAACCTTCTTCTTTGGTGCAAAACATCTAACTTTGGACCCTTAAAACGGTTTCCCAAGACCCACGGCTCTGTCCGGACCGCCACCCCACCGCCCCGCCCCCCCGCCCCCCCCCCCCGGATCGCGGCGCATCGGCCTTGTCGAAGGGCCCCGTGGCCTTCCGCGCCAGCCACGCCGCAGCCCGGCCCAGGCGCTGGGAGCGCCTCTCCGTGGCGGCCCGGCGCAGCAGTGCCAGCGCCTCTCAAGCGAAAACCAAGAACGGGCGAGACATGGAAAGCCAAAACCGCAAAAAGGCCGTCAGTCTAAAAAAAAAAGGCCGTTCAAAAGCCACAGGGGGGAAAAAAAAGCCGGAGCGCCCTCCTGATACATTTCCATTGGGGACTCTTGGGTGGGCTTTGCAAAACATCTCTCGGCTCGCCCTGGAGCTGCCTCTGAAACCCTCCGCGGGCGGCATCCTCAAGCAGGTCTTCCAAAACAAAAGCTGCCAAGGGACGTCATTCATTGTTTTTTAGGTAGCACCCTTCAAAGCACGGAGACCGCGCATTGCCCCTTGAAGCACCTATACTTGCAACATGGTTTCACGTCCATGCCTGCTTCGGCTGGCCGGCGGTTTGCAAGAAGCTTGTGGCGCCTCAAGATCAAGCAACCCCCCCAACCAAGCATGGCGAGCCATGCTGCCCCCAAGCGATGAGCAAAGCGTGCGGCCGCGATGCTCACTTGACCAAAGGTGGCAAAAGCGGCATCGCTGTTGAGCACCGCCACCGCCTTGGCGATGGCCGTGGCTTCCTGCCCAAAGCGCGCCGGGCCGAGATGCATACTGTGTGGTGCTGGATGGATCACTCATGGGACTCATGGGATGAAAGTGCTTGATTATTTGTCGCATGTTAAGCTCTAAAAAATGATTTGTAGAACATCTCAATGCCCAGACCAAGTTGCCGCCGAGTGACGCTCTGTCATGAGCCAACTTAGGCAACGTGGAAGGGAGGCCAGGCACCACCATCAGCCACGAGATGTGTTCATTTCTGATTTGAGGTCTGCCGCCACTCAAGGGAAGCAAAAAGAGGGGAAAGGTAAGGCAAATTCCCCCATGTGCAGCGTTGATGCAACGCTAGCTGACCAGCTCCCCCAAACACTTCCCCATGTGGCCTCCGATCGCAGCGTTTGGCGCTCCTGAGGGGCAGGCAAAAGAATCATGTGAAATTGCAGATTAGCGAAACTCGTTTGTGAAGTAATAGTGGCAGTAGTCGTGGCAATGGTAGTGGTAGTGGTTGTGGTAGTGGTGGTGGTAGCCGTAATGGTAGCCGTAGCAGTGGTAGCAGTAGCAGTGGTAGCAGTAGCAGTGGTAGCAGTAGCAGTGGTAGCAGTAGCAGTGGTAGCAGTAGCAGTGGTAGCAGTAACAGTGGCAGCAGTAGCAGTACCAGTAGCAGTAGCAGTAGCAGTAGCGGTAGCAGCAGAAGTAAGCCCGCGTGTGTCCCACACACGGTTCCACGCAGCCTCACCAGTGGCAGCCATCGCAGCAGCAGCAGCAGCAGCAGCAGCAGCAGCGGTGGCAGTAGCAGTAGCAGTAGTAGTAGTAGTAGTACTAGTAGCAGTAGGCAGCAATAGAAGCTGAAGTAGTAGTGGTGGTAGTAGTAGTAGTAGTAGTAGTAGTAGCCGTAGGCAGCAATAGAAGCTGAAGTAGTAGTGGTAGTAGTAGTAGTAGTCGTCGTCGTCGTCGTAGTTGTTGTTGTTGATATTGTAGCAGTGCTAGTAATAGTGCCGGTGGTGATAGTAGCGTCGTAGCAGCAGCAGCAGCAGCAGCAACAGCAGCAGCAGCAGTCTTCCCCCCCACACCTCCCAAATGGGCTGCGACACGCTGCAGAAACATACGGCAAGTGCCAAGCCGGCCTTTACCCCCTTTAAATCATGCTACATGACCCACCTCATAGACGCCAGTCTTCTGCGCCAGCACCTTCTCTGTTTCGGCTTTCAGCGCACTTTCCTCGGTGCTGTCAAGTTGTGGGACTTGCCCAACAACCAACTCCTCTCTCTCAGTTACTCTCAGCCTTCTGCCTAGGCTCTGACTCCAAATCCTCCTTGGCTTGCTTCAACTGCGAGCGCTTGGTCACCAGCTCCTCCTTGGTGCTCGCGATCTCTGCCTCCGCTTCGCTTGAAAGAAGCGCGCAGCCAAGGGATTGCTGGGGCTCAGAACACGGCCAAGGTGCGAGCCACTTTGAGGCAGGTGGGGAGTCCCGTTCGAACTTTTGTCATCCGCCCAGATAGCATCAAACTGAAACCACGAGCTCTTCACGTCTTTGGCAGCTATTCCTGCCCACCTCTGTCATCTCTAGCATCTTTTTCAGCTCAGCCTGGCCGGGCTCAGGTCAGCCATTTGCAGCGGATCAGTCGCTAAGTGAGCGAGGGGCTGAACGACAAAGGAGTTCACGCTGAATGAGCGCACTATAAGAGCAGTCCATCAGCCGCTGGGCCACTTGGCCACTTCCAGCGGCTGCAACGAAAGCAGGAAGTGGGCGAAGGGGCCGTCGCAAGCACCCACCCTCATTACCACCACTGCCCACCTCTGGCTCCAAATGGGCGTGTCTTTTTCGGGCACCCCTCAAAATGGTTTTCATTCTGGCTTCCCTTCAAGCCCACAAAAAAGGGTACTCCATCTGCGTTGTTTTTGGCGCACAGTCGCCCCTCGCCTGCTCCCCACCAAGCTGCTCCAGCAACTTCTTGTGGGAGGCCTTGTCGGATACCTCCCCCTCGCGCAGGTCCTGGCTGAGCGCCGCTCACCCAGGCCCAACCGAAACCAACCGGGTTCGGGAAGGTTTAGGAAGTTTCGAAAGAGCTACGTGTTTGTGGCTCTTCTCACACCTCGCCCCCAAAATATGTCGCACGGCCCTCGCGCCTTGAGATCCTTGGCGTAGGTGTCCTTGAGGCTCTGCAGGGTGCCCAGCACGCCGCCGCTCTGCTGCTCGTAGTCCGCGGGCTTGCGGAGCATCGCCAGGGCCTCCGACGAAGCCTCGAAGCCTCGAAGCCTCGAAGCCCGCGACGCGTCCGACGCGTCCGACGCAGACCGACCGCTTCGGATCCCAAGGCCTTGGGCGCCAGAAAGTCGCGAGCCTCCTGGCAGAAAACAAGCGCCCAGTCCAAGCCACGGCCTCTCTGTCCAAGCTGTCTACTGATGTATACCAATATGTATACCAGTGTATATTCATACATATTATATATATATTATGTGCAATATGTGTGTGTGTGCGCCCACACACACACACTGGAAGCAACTGGAACGTGTTGGGTCAGGATCAAGTCTTAGCACAAAGCCAGTGAGTCAAAGCGTGCGAGTTGTGTTTCTCGCTGCCGATACCATGAGGTTGATTCAAACCGGCTTGCGCACCCTGCTACCCCTTCAGGCAAACAGTGTACGTTAGCTTTCACCAGACATGTCACATCCATGCTTGAACGGAAAGACTGAGCACAGCGCGTGCAACATCTGCACAATGTGCTTCCTATGGTTGGGACCACTGGGCCCTTCTACGTCCGGATGTGTCCCGCACCTCAGCCACGGCCTCCAGCTCTCGCGTCACTTCCTGCACCTTCGGGTCGCTAGAGGTGGCGAGCAGCGAGGCGGCCTACGAGCGGCGGAGTGACGCCTGCAAACCAAAGTCAGGAGGCGAGGAAAAAGGTACATCGAGTGTTCGGGGCGGAGCAACTGAGGTAGATTATTATGGAGCTAAGCGTGAAGTGTTGTGGTATGTCCTTCCATCCGGCCTGAGCATCGCCCTTCACCTCGCTCAGCTCAACCAAAGCCTGCATCTTCCAAGACCATTTCACTCCAAAAAGAATATGTTTGCCCACTGCAAGGGTGCGCGTCCAGATGAAAGATGCCCACGCTGGCGGCACAACAGGAGAAAAAACCGTGAACCCTCAGGTTTCAGCCGCCTGTCAACTCGTGTCATTTGCCAACCAAGCCCTTCGCTCTCAGCCATTGTCTGGCGTTCCCGCAGAAAACGGAAGGCAAGAAAGACCCCGCGAGACCTTCTCCAGGCTGGCCAGGCTTGCAGCCATATCCGCCTCTTGCCTGGCAAACGCCATGATAGAAGCCACAGCAGCAAAAGCCCGAGCCGTCCGCATCGAGTCGCCCCAAACGAGGCCAAACTCTGCAAGGCCAAGCTGCTCGGCGAAGGCCTTGTTGGCGTTCTCACGCGCCGCCGCGGCCTGGTCCTGCATCAAAGAGAGGGCATCCTTCCCCTCGCAGCCCTCGCAGCCCTCACAGCCCTCACTGCCCTGGCCTGCGTCCCCTGGTTCGCCTCCAGGTCCCTGGTGGAAGCTCGCTGCTTCGTGGCCAGCTCCGAGCTCAGTGCCTTCGATCTGGCCCAGAAAAAGTCCAGGGGTACGAAACCAAAAACAAATGGATTCCAATTGGCCTAAAATGTCCGAAACGTGGATGCACCGCTCTCGCTCCCTCTCTCCATGAGTTTGAGCACAAGAAAAGAAAAAAGCCTGCCCATGTTGTGTGCATTGGCAGGTTGCTGAGAAAGTGAGAACTGAAAATGGACGGCGGGATCAAAAAGCAATGAAAACCCAGCCGGACGCTGCGCACCATCTTGAAGAATCTCGTGAAAACCGCTGCATTAATTACCAACAAGCACCCCTCAGCAAATTTGGCACTTGGTGCGAGGATGTGAGACCAGCCAGCTGGGAGGAGTCTTAGTCTTAGCTTAGCTTAGCATGTCTGCGAATGACGGAGATTCCTTTGAACCAAAAAGACGTGCGCCAACGGTTCTGCCCCGCGGCCGTGAGCTTCTCGATGCGATTCTCCGTGGAGCCAATCAGCTCCTGCAGATTTGCAATGGTCGTAGCCTTCTCAGAGATGACCTTCCTGAGATTCGGCTGCATCCTTTTCCCAGTGTTGAAGCCCATGAAAAATATTGTCCGAACAAAGGAAAACTCCCAAGGGAAAAGCACTTTTCATCAGCCGCTGAAGAAAGCAGCTTCTCTCGCTTCGTTTGCAGTTCAGACTGCATGCTTGCGACTCGCCTATGATTCTCTCAACAAAATTCCTTTTGGCCTGCGCTGCTCTTTCGATAGCGGCAGCACGAAAGAACGTGTGGCAAGATGCACTATGCCTGGAAACATCCGCAGTCCCGCACCCCACGGCATCCCAGCCAGGTGGCTTGCTGTGGCACTGAAACTTGTCAAGGGTCTCGTCTTCTGCTTTGCCATCTGCCTCGGCCTTCTCCGCCATTCCTGCAGCTGACGGCATCGCATGTTATGCAGGTGGTCACAACGCGTCGCCCCAAACAACGCAAGCAATCCGAAGAGCATTGGCATCTAGCCCCATAGCATTGCGCAAATCTGCAAACCGCGCAGGAAGGGCAAAACGGGATATGGCAGCCTTCACGGCAGCCCATCCTTCCTGTTGATCAGTCTTTGGCGAGTTAAGCAAGTCCAGGGGCATCAAACTTGTAGAAAGAGCAATGCCCAGCAGTCTGCTTTCGATCCTAGTGCGAAACCTGCGAGCTAACAAATCATCCTGAGGTTGGCCCTCAAAAAACAGAGTGAGCCAATGGAAAATGAGAGCCCCGAACAGTCCAAGGAGTTCTTGCTGGACCATGTGACAGACTGGCATTCTCTGGCCCAGCCTTTCAGCATCTCCACAATCTTTGCGGGCTTGGCATGGTGCACACCGTTTCGGGTCTTCACGGCCCCCGCAAGTCCGAGGACTGTGCACCTAAGAGAGGTTGTGCTGCCAGCTGGAGACTGCCTACATCTCTATCATTCAGTTTAAAATTGCAAGCTGGCGTGTCTTGGGTTCAAGATATTGCATAGCCATGGGGCTGCTGACGCGATTGTGGTTTAGATGCTCCAGGCAAACTATGCAAGACTACAGCTGCAAGAATGTTATCTGCAAAGGGCAAAACCTTGAAATCCCACCCCGCACAAAGCGCAGGCCGAGGGGCACAAGCAGCAGCTTCATTGCAAGCTACGGGCAGTCACGCGGTGGCACAAGGCGCGAGACTGAAACTGCGGATGGGGAGCCATTCCAACAAAGCTTGAACTTTGCTGTTTGGGTCACCCTGGCATTGCATCAGGGCGAATGTTTGCAAGGATCATAGTTCTGCGACAGCTTGACACGCGTTCTCCTCACCTTGCTACTATGGCCTCAAGTGTAGCATTTGACATGGCTTCTGTTGAAGTTCAAGCAGCAGCCGTGGAGGGTCCCGACACCCTAAGAAAAATATGTTGCCCTGCAGCCTTTACCCATCCACAGGCTTCCGAGCCATGGATCGCTGGCTGCACTCGCGCCTGCAACGCGCACATGGGAGGACTGTGCCGTCGCCACCTGTGCTTGGTTCCTGTATGAAGTTCTCGCTATTCAAATTGCGAGCGAGATGTTTAGAGCTTGAAAAATACTTGCCCTGGACTTTGCTCAGCCTGTTCAAGTAGCCATCTACAGTGCTACCCGTCGCAACACCCAGCCTTCGACGCTGAGCCAAGCACTGGGCCCTTGCCTTGGCAGATTGGTGCGCGCTACAGAAAGCTTGGAGGTTTCCTTACAGCAGGTCCGCTTTCGACGGCCCACCCCATTTGAGGGGTGTTTGAAAGGGAACTAGAAAACAAGAGGGGCACCACCCGGTTGAGAAACATCCATACAAGGATCCAGACAAACATCGCACGACACATCACATTGACATACGTTGTGGCATACTGCAGTACAGAACGGTACAGTACTGCACAGCACTGCACAGCACAGCACAGCACAGTACAGTACAGCACGGGGCAGTGCCGTGCAGCAAAGTGCCGTGCAGTACATACACATCATTCGAGTTTCTGACTTATCGGCTTCTGACAGTAGGGTGTTGGCCTACCGTGGCAATGACGGGAAACCGAGAATTTTGGCCGAAAGGGAGCCTGACAAACGGCCACCACATCTAAGCAAGGCAGCCGGCGCGCAAATTACCCAATCCTGACAGTGGCCGCTTTTGTTTGGCGGATCCGCTGCCTCCTTTGGCCGGCGGGCTCGTAGTCTTGCTGAAATGTCGCGATGCCACCGGTGCTCTCCGCCTTTGGCCCGCACTTGGCAAACACAGCCTTCGCCATCTCGTTTTTCGCGCGAGCCACCAAGCAGGTTCGCGTCGTTTTGCGGGCGTGTGTGCAGCTCTCAAGCAGCGCGCTTGAGCGAGCAAGCGTATCATCTGGCAGACATGTGAACGCAGTGCTGGGCGGGCGCCAAAACAGATGCGAGGAGATGCAAAAAGCGCTAAAATTGCGAGGCGCCATAAGGGTCCCTAAACGCCATTCAATGTTAAGCTCTCTTGGCTTCTCCTGTCATAAAAATAGAAGTCACTTGCCACCCTAGTCAGCGCCAAGCTTCTGCACACAGACCGCTGGCGCTGACGTGAGACTTCAGCATACTATGTAGAGAGGGAAACTATTCCATTGTCGAGATGCTCAAGAATCCAATTTCCACCACACGCGCATATCAGTATGCACAAAAGGCAGCTCCTGCCCAACAAGCTGAAGCACAATAAGCCATGCGCCGCAACAGAACAAAGTTCTTCACAGCCTGTGAAGCGCGTGCGCGGGCGCGCTGATACTTTGGCAGAAATGCACGCAGTTGAGCGGGGCCCTTGACGAAAGCGAACGCGCTTGAGGGGGCGCGCTTGTCATTTGGCAGACACGTGGGCCGTGCTGAGCGAGTGCACTTGCGCACTTGTCATTTGGCAGGCGCGCACAGCTCTTGGCACTTGCTCTTAGCGCCTGCTAAGATGCGCTGATCATTTGGCAGATGTGTACGCAGTTGGGCGGGGTACTTACCCACATACATAGATACATACAGACATACAGACATGCATGCATGCACACATACATGCCTACATACACACATATGAACATAGTACATACAGACAGGAAGCCAGACATAAACACACAAACCCATGCATACAACTGTACAACTTACAACCACACAAGCAAGCAAGTGAACACGCAAGCGAACAAGCAAGCAAACAAGCAAACCAAGGCAAGCAGAAAACGAAACAGAAAACAGCTGCCAAATCAACACGCGATCCTTCCTCACCACTTGCACATGCCCGCCGTCAGACGACAAGGCTCCAGAGAAGAACCATAAACAATGACAATCGCAGCCAAAGCAGCTTTGCTTCAAACGACGGCAAAAGCTTTCGCGGCTGCTCTGGCCCGTCAGGCGGGAGCCAGGCTTCGGACTGTCGTGCTGGCCCGGCCTTGGCGAGAGCCTCAAACTTCCTTCTGACTGGCAGCTGCAAAACGGGCCTGACAAACAAATGTGACAAACAGCTGTGACAGAGCAGCGCTAGTCCAAAGCCTGAGTGGCTCTGTCGCAGCTATCTGTCACAGGCTCTGTCGGCGTGCAGGCTGGTTGCGGATGCCACTTAAAATGTATCAACCTATCGGGCGGGTGAAATACACGGTGGGATTCAACGCCCAACCTCTTTTCCGGCCTGTTTCACCTCGGGTCCTGAGGTAGCGATCCCTGCCCAATTGCCGCCCAAGGCGCAGAGCCCCGCCATCCCCGCAGGCCGACCCGGGCTTGGGCCAGTGATGAGTGTCCAGGAGATTCTGTTCTTTCCCAAAATGGACGAACGACAACTCCAATAGACCACCCCACTCACGGAGATTGGATTGTAATCAGGCTGGCCAAGCGCTTGCCGCTGCACTGCTACTTCTGGCTGCCTGCGTCATGCTGACTCAGTCGCGGCGCTCAATTTCCTTGGTTCTCAAACGTGTCAATATGGTGCCTGAACAATCGCAGTTGACAAGGACCTCAAGAAAAAAGAAAAAAGTCGCTCCTATTTCTCACTGCCCTGACTCCGCGGTCTCACCCCTACTTGCGTTGGCTCACAAGCAGGTGCTCTTGACACATTGCCCAGCAAGTGGGGTATTTCGAGGTGCTCCTGTTACGATTCGTCGTGGACTTTTCACCAGGGCTTCTGGGACTTGACTCTTTTGATTGGCTTCTACAATGGACTCGCCAACTTTTGCGCGCAACTGCTCCAACCAAATGCCAGCGCAGGCTTGACCCGCAGAAAGAACCAGACGCGATCTCCACATGTGGAACCCGTCAACGCGACAGTTTCGATGCCCTCGGGAAGGTGATGCAGTCGCTTCCGCCACCTCCCTAGCCACCCAGAAAAGAAACTCCCCACACGCATCGAAGATTCTGAAGCAATATCAAGTTGGCCTGGCGTTCCAACCGATCCCAACTCAGGAAAGTCTCAGCCTGTGGGGGCAAGAAAGCACCAAAAAGGACCTCCTACAGTCCCGTGCGATCCGAAGTGATATCTGCGGCCCTCTCTAGGCTCTCAACTTATGGTGGCCCAATCCCAGGGTAAGACTGAAGCCTGCGCTTTGCGCAGTCAATAGCGAGGCATCGGACCTCAGCCTGGGCAACCGGACTCGCGGAAGCTCGCTCCGCGCGGCCCCTTGACGGCCCCCAGGCGAGCTCACCGGGAGCCTGTTAGCTCCTAGTCACGGACAGCCCGTGCGGAAAATACTTGCAAAAATCACCGGGGCCCATCAGGACTTCCGCATCATCTGCACAAACCTCAGCCAAAGCCAAGTGAGATCACTGCCTTCCAGGATTTTCGCTCAAGATGACTCCTCCTCTTGGCATGGTCCATGCCTAAGGCCGGCACTCTTCAAACTCAATTTCGCCAGATCCATCCTCATCGATCTCCTTCATGATTTCCTCTACCTCAGTTTCCGCCCGATCGCGATGCCTGCATTGGGCCTTCAGGCTCTGAAAACTGCGCTGCGCAAGCCAATATCTCTCCCACAAGGTTGCTGCCAATCCGGAAACGGCATAATTACCAGGATTTAATTGGGTTCTTTTGCTTGGAGCTCAAAGCACTGGCGCGTGGGACGTGGAACTTGCACTCAGGCGAGCCGCAGACTGGCCTTGCATGAGCTGCCCGACGCCTGGGCCGTCACACCGTCGCCCCGGACCCAAACAGCATCCACTTCGGGACCGGTCAAGGCAGTCCAACTTTTCCGGGTTTAATCGAACAAAACGGCGGCGCAAGGCGTTCTTCCTGGACTTGGGCACTGACTGTCATCTTCCAACACACTTCTCAGCTCTTCCATGCAAATCTTGCCTTGGCCGCGCAGCGAGAAAGGACATAGTCCAAGAGAGGGGTCACGTGTTCCATCAGAGAATACCGTCAGCAGTATCACACACGAGGGGGGCCGATGCACTGTTGAATTGTTTCGTCATGTGAGGCTTGTAGCTGAAGGCAGGGATATCAAGATGGCGGATCGCCGCCATATTGATAGCGCAATGAAACAAACGTCCTCCTTCTCTGCTCGTGCACGAGTCTGGGACACTGGCCATCGCCATTCTTGTCAAAGACGCAGAAGGCGGACCACAGCGCATCCTCTTGCAGGTAGTGCCTGACGGCAATATCCACAAATCCGACATCCAGCCCAAAGGCAGTGCCGTTTGCACAAACGACGTGACTGCTGTGCACCACTCCAGTTGCACGTGACATGTGCGCGTTTTGCCCTCCCAGCCTTTTGTCCAGTGTGGCGGCCAGGAACTCCTGTTGGCGCCCATGCACCCGAAGATCGGCCGTTCAATGTGGCCGTGGGCCCAAGAAAGACCCCGAAAACTGGGAACTTCTGGCTCGGGCATTCCACAAACACCACTCACCATACACCTGATCAGCTTGCTGCTCTCCTTGTACTCAATAGAGCCACTCCTTGGATGAACTGGCAAAGCACAGCTGGCGCAAAGGGTGTGCTCAGCAAAGTTCAACTGCAGCAAGATTTGGCCCTGCAATCTTCACTACATTGCCTTTGTAGTCTTGGAGCGCACTGACAAACAGAGGTTTTTTGCCGCGGTCTGCTCAAACAAACACTAACATGATGTCACGGGTGATTGCACACGGCTACGACCGCCCAAAACCAAGAAAAAAGGAAGCCCGCCCCTTGCAGCAAAGGCGCCCGTCAAAGTCAACGCCAGCCAAGATTTGCTTCCTTACAATATCCACGGCGAGCAACCGCAACCGCAGAATTGGGACCTTTCTGCTACATTTCGATCTGAACCTCTGTGAGTCACAAAATGAGTCCAATGTCTTCTCCTAGCCACCTCAAAACTGACCAAGTGATTGATGTCGCTACAGACAAGCACTGGATGCTCCCCCCACAGTCGGCTGACCAAAAACTGGAGAAGCTGGGCACAAGTCTTTCGAGCGAATCCCCAGGGCTCCGCACAAATCCGCGTCTTTCATTCCAGTCGCCTTCAGGCCGTCACCTGAGAGATGGGCCCCGCGCAAGCTAGCTTCCACCTTCTGTTCCCGCGCGTCCATGCAAATTCCAGCCCTGCCTCTAAAAAAAAAAACGCCGTTGCACGGTCGTGTCCGACCAAGGCAATGCGAGAGCCGCCCCATGGACCGCTGAATGTCCGAGGAGCTAATCTCCTTGATGCTCAGTCGGCCATCCCCGTTCTCATCGAGAGCAATAAACCTTGGCCAGGCTGACGAATTCACCCGCGCACAGTCTCACTGCGATGGGCTCAAGCCGTGCTGTCTAGTCACAGGCTTGCGGCCCAGCCACTGTTTTCGGAGTGTCTCGATCTTGTCTTCACTGAGCTGCGTCCTTCAAGTGGCCCACAGAAGTGTTGCTTCTGCACATTGCGAAGGCCAACAAGTAGATTAGGCTCGACGACCACGCTTCACTCAAATCAAAAGGGGTGGAACAAACTGGGAGCTGGCAGGTGAACAAAGGAATGTTGTGACAAGCATGCTTTCCCATCAAAATTGCAAGGCCGTAGCCCGCCAATTGGAATACAGCATCCTACTGCAGCTTACAGGCGAGTTGGCCCTGCAATGGGCACCCCGGCGCAATGACTTGCAGCGCCATCTTCCTGAAGAAATGGCCGACGGCTGCAACCAGCTGGGGAGCAAGGTTTGATCGACCAAACTCAAACACACACACACAAAAGACAAATCGGGAACAGGCAAACATGATGAAAGCTGGCACCGCATGCAAGAACACCTGACTCTTCACGGGCGACGGTTGTGGGGCTCCCCCATGCTTGTCAAACACGAGAATGAATCAGACCTACACATGTCCGCTTCTCAGGTATCATCCGTGGTGCCTCTAAAAGCTCAAACGCGCCAGAGAATGCATCCGGCTAATGTGCAACGGCAGCACGTTGTGCATGTATGTGGACAGCCGCTACATGCAAGGACTAATTTGACGAGCATGGTGCAGCCCAAGTCTCTTGAACCGGTTTGTGGCCCGGAAGTTTTTGAGGTTGCTGACCTCAGCATGACAAACCGCTCAAAAGGTACGAGTCTACCTCGAGACCTGCGTGACGAACAACCATGAATGAAGTGCCAAGAGTGTGAAGTCCGGGGCACGGAGGTGGTATTCAGCGGCTCCTTGCTTGATCGCGGCGCCTTCTCTTTGATCCAAATGTGGCTCAGCGCCTGCGCTGTCCGATTCTGACCCGAAGCCACGATAGCCCAAGAGAAACCCGTGGCTTCGGCCATCGGCCTAACCCTCTTCCGCGCCTGCTCTGCAGTGAAGCGGTCCTGCGGCTTCATCGCCAGCAGCTTTCTGATCAGCTGCTTGGCATCATCGGAGACCTGCGATGAAGATGGAAAGGAAGACAGCGCTGCATCGTGTTTTCGAAATCCTCCAATCGATCATTGGCATTTTGCTTCTATTGCCTCTTGACTTGTGAAAAGGAAATGGCTCAAATGAAGTTCGGCCAGAGTGTCAATCTGCCTCGTTCTCACTACTGCAGAATCTAAGTCATCATGTGAGCATGTAGCTTGCACTGGTCCATCACCCTCACCGTGCTGTTTCTTTCGTTCTTTTTTCCAGCTCACGCCCCGCCTGCGACCAGTCTTCAGCCGGGAAGGTGAAGTGCCCCCTGGTGCCATGGGTCGAGGGCAAACATACAACCCTTCAACGGCTCGCGGTTCGCCGGGGGTGGCTGGTTAATGTTGGCCTCCTGAACTAGAGCCCGTGCCCACCTCCTCACCAGCGCCAAAACCTGCGGATCTGCGTCCGCCAGGAAGGGCGGATAGCCGCAAAGCAGCACCTGCACGTCAGCGAAATGATGGCAAGAGCAAGACCCTCTCGGAGACCAGAACTCTCCCTCTCTCCGTGCATCCCTGGCACATACATGATGACGCCGCAACTCCAAATGTCGCAAAGCTCGTTGTAGTGCCCAGCAAGCACCTGAGGAGCCACCTGCGCTGAAGAGACAACTCGTGAGCCATCAACCATCCTCTTGAACTTTTAGCCAACAACTCATTTGTCACTTTGGCCGGGTACGGTTGAAGTACGTGTTGAGTGTGTACTGCTATGTTTGTCCCATAAGCGAACATGCACGGTGTAGTAATTTTAGTATGCTACGCCTGCCTCTCTCTGTTTGAATGAGTCGGCTTACGGCACACTCGGCCGGCTCAGCATGAGTCTGGCGCATAGTAGGGCGTGCCACTCTTCGTCTTCAGCGCTTGGCCGGTCCTTGGCCAGTGGGATTCTGACGGTGCGCCTGTGGAGCCTGCCATTCAAGGTGTCACAAGTCTAGGCACCCAACTTGAAGGGCGTTGCTAGGCCGAAGTCGATCAGCTTCAACAGATTGTTCTCAATGGGCTCCTGCCAGCCAGGTCTTTCTCATGTAAGCTAATATCGTTCCTTTTTTGTGGGAGTTGGGTGTCATTCCGAACTCCATGGCCTTCTTTTCTTTTGTTGATTCGAAACGGTGGGGCTGGGTGATGGACGGGTGGAAGTGCTGGTGAGCAGGCCAAGTTGGGGATGGAGAACCTGCAAACCATTTTCTTCAGTGAAAAGCAGGAGGGCAGAAGGAAACCCTTGCAACGAGTCCTTCGTGTGGAACAAGAAGTTCTCTGGCTTCAAGTCCTTGTGTAGCAACAGGCGATGGCGGTCATGTGTGCTAGAAATTGCGGACGAAAACATCATTCGGACCCTTTCGCCTCTCTCCCTCATGAAGAAATGCGTGAACTTCCAGCTTGGTTCTAGCCATTAGCCACCGACCCAGAACTGGAGCGAGACCCCGACCCTGTGGCAAATCATGTTCGTGTGCAGGTAGTAGATGGCACTGATCATCTGCTTCATGACCTTAGGGGCCGAGCTCTCTGTGAAACTGCCCTCTGGCTGAGATGAGTGCAGTGAGTGTTTTCAGGGTGCCCTGGTGGGTCCCGCGCAATGGCCGCCTGGGTCTCCGTAAAGTGCCCAGCTTCGACAATACGGTCGAAGAGCTCGCCGCCTCTGCTTCCACAGCTATGGTGCGAGCTGGGATGTCAAAAAACAGAAGTTTATAAAAAGCGCCTGAGCACATCTCCATTATCAGGTACAAGTTTCGCTTGTCCTGCAAGGAGCTGCTATCCGCGTCAATCCAGGTGTTCAAGCAAAGCATATATAGGGGAACAAACAAGTATTTAAAGTATTAACTCCTCGTCCAAACATGGCTATCCATGCGAGGTTTGTTTCGCCACCCCTGCACATGATAGTGTCAAAAAAATGGTCCCTCTTTCCGCCACAGAAAGCCACTCTGCAGCAAGCGCGCGTTGTTCGTGTCCCATCCTCAAAGGTCTCGTACAGCTTGATGATTCCTTACGCGCTCCGTGATAGCAAAGAGGACATGGGCAAATTGTCTCCTAGTATCCCGAGGTTGTCCCACCGTCAACTTGGCAGTGTGCTACGGCGTTAGCCATAGGAAACTGACACTTTCTGTTAGTTGACTTGACGGTTAATTGTCCATCTTGACATTAGCGCGCATCAAACCCCGCAAAGTACGAGCTCTGCCGCCTTTGATGCTCTGTAACAAGGCTGAAATTCACAAACACAAAATTTGCTCAGGCACCCTCGCAATGGCAACGGCAGACCTTTTGCCAGTGGTGCAGGGATGCCATTGATTCACGCATAATATGTCTGGCCGTTCTGGGCACCATACCAGGATGGTCCATGCGCTTCATGATGGCGATCTCGCAGTAGAAGCGCTCCAACACCTGCGCAGTGATTTGACAGAGCCTTGTGTTTCGCTGCTTCGCGTGAGCAAAGGAGGCCAAAAACCAAAAACTTACCCACCGTACAGGATCCTTTGTTAGTCTGGCTCTTTCTTGGCCACCGCCTTGGAGCTGGATCCACCGGCGGTCTTGCAGATCGTCTTCAAAGCACCTCAGGGCTCGGCATGGCGTGAAAGCCTTGCTTCTTGCGGTTTCCGTCGTCCTTCACTAGCCAAAAAGTGAAGACGGGGCTGGTGGGCCACCTGATTCACTCGGGGTACGCGCTTCAGCTCCCATCTGCCCGAACGAGTCATCCATTCAAATACAGCTTGAAGTACCCGCCCACCCTCCCATGATTTCCATATACATCTGGCAATGTAGAATGAGTTCGTGCCAGGGCAGTGCATCTGGCGTTGCGATTTTGATTTCGAACATAAACAGCAGACACAGAATAAAATACACGGCCTCCACATATTCTCAATACGGCTCCGTGCACCATACCACTGCCAAAAGCTAGAATACGAGGAGGGCAAGCGGTGAGTGACGCCTGCCTTAGGCCTTGCGCATGCTTCAACGACAAAAGTAACAACGACAGCTCCCGAATAAATTCGCAGCAGAGACACGCACACTGCCCGTTTTCCTTGGTCGGATCAGGAAAACCCTTCACCAACCCACCTTCAAAATCCCATTGGGAGCTGGACACGGGCACGTTTGCAGCCTCGTGTTGAGGAATGACTTCATCAGGCCAAGCTTCTTGTGCTTGCACTTGCATACCGTTCCATAGGAGCCAGCGCCCAACCTCGCAAACTGAATGGCTTCAGCCAGACGTCAAGCTTGCAAAGGGCCGCCTTTCATTCAACATAGCACGGTGCTGAGGGCACCCCGAAATACATTGCAATTTTTGTCAAGCCCCACAGAGCCCCTCCGAAAAATTTTTTCAGGGTGCACTTGAGATTTGAGGCCAGACTCAGAAGGTGCCATGCTCTCCCAGAAATCACAATCACAGGCACATCTCAGGCACATCTCTGGAAGCACTTGGCAGCGCTGCCAAGGCACGCTTTGTTTTCAGTAGTGTAATGATCTCGGATGTTGCTGCTGCCGCCCACCTATGCAGGGCCATGCTGCTGTCGTGACAAGCGAGGAAAAACCGCTTCAGCCAGCACCAGGCTGGATGATTTGTTTGCTTCACGCATCTTCTCAACGTCCTTGAAACCCTGTGTTCGCATTGGGTGGCAAATCGCAAAGCAAACCGCGAGCCCACGCCTGGACAGCGGAGGAGCTTGGCCTCGGCCCATCCCCCTCTCAATCAGCTGGAACCCGAATACCCAGGACCCGCAGACCCGCAGCCAGTCAAGCCCCGTAAAGCACTTGCCCCCGGTCACAAACGATGGCAACCTGTGCGAGTCCAGTAACCAGATAGTCTCTCTGACTTGGACGCATTTTCGCGACAGCGCAAATTTCCAAAGCTGCCTGAAGCACTGGACTTATGGGGCAGAACGTCCGAACACCCACAAAACAAGCATACCCAACAACCAGGGAAGACACCAGACGCGGATACTGAGTAGGATGGTCCACGACAGCAACCCCGCTGCAGCCGAAGCTCCCCTTATCCGTCACCGGCTTCGCGGCATCCTGGCAAGCAAACATGCACAGGAACACCGGCGGCCGCTCTTCACATTGCAAATGCCAGCCACGGCCTGAAAGAATGCCGCCAGGATGCCAGCGCAACAGTTCTCGGCGCGGGTGTGCTCAGGTGGCGGAGGCTGAGTGTCCCTCCAAACACTGCACATGAAAAACAGCACCAGGGCTCAAAAATCCCTCGGCCCGAAGACCTCGCCGGAAATCAACGCACATCCTAAGCCCACTGCCGACATGGCGGGCCCGGCGTCGCGAACTCGAAGCTTTGGGCCACACGTCCACGGCAGGCAGCTGGTCGCGCGACCCGCAAGACATGCCTTCGCAAAAGGGAACCCACCCGCGGAATGGCTCAGGTTGCGTCGCCAAATCAACTAAACAAAAATGAAGATGCAGTCGGCGATTGAGCCAAAGCACCCAACATGTGAAGAGACGTCCTTCAGTCGTTGAATGTTGTGTGTCGCTGGGCCTTGCCCTATAGCGGCGCTATATACTGTGATATCCCTGCGCTGACCCCACAGATAGCGCTCCTTTTGTCTCACCAAAGCTTCTCCTCCGCATCATCTTGCAGCATTGGCTTTTGCCAGCTAATCCTGGCGAGAAAGAACGGCCCGAAACAAAAAAGCGGGTGCCCCCCACTACCTCCAAAGCGACAAAGGCCCGGTCACCATAGCCCAGGCCTGTGGCGGTTGTGCTCCGCCTTCTCCGCTGCCTCCTCCAAGCGCTGCAAGGCCTCCTCGGAGAACTTCACCTACAGCTTCGCAAGACGGATCCATGCGAGCGCAACGCATCCGTTGCAACCGGTTGCCGAACAGACCTATCCTGTTCCTCCCAGTTCGCTCCGGACAACTCGCTGACCCTGGCTTTCCCAACCTTTCGGAAGCTTGCAATCCGAGAGCTCGATCACGCCAACGTTCGCGCGGCCAAATTTCAATTCAGTGTTGGCAGAAATGCAGATTCGGGCGTCCTCCAATCGATGGGGGCAAGTTTAACGTTGCAGCTGGCCTTACAAAGCTGCGCATCATCTGCTCAATTTGAATATGGCGTTGTTGTTTTTGTTCATGTCGTCACGTCAAACCCGCACCTTGTACTTCTTTGCCAGTTCCCGCACCGGCGACTCGGGGTACTGGACACCTTCTTTCTTCTTCTCCTCTCGGACCGCTCAAAACAAACGTGATTTACATTCCCCCTGAGCTTTGAATCTTCACGATTTCAAATTCTTCTCGGCACTACACATTTGGAGTTCCTGCGGCAGGGGCGTCCAGAACTTCTCGGCCTGGCCCTCCCTGGGGATCTCCCAGATGGGCCGCGTGGGGGCGAACTGCCGCTCGTCGATGTCCACGATCTCGCCACTCGCCACGGCTTCCTCCACCCTCGCCAGCGCGCCTTCGTCGAGAACCACCTGTGGGACCTCCCGCACCGGAGTGGGGATCTGATTGCCCCGCAGTGTGGTCCTTGGGCGCACCTTCTTGCCCCCAAAGAGCTGCAAAGGAAGGGTCAAGTCTTCCTTGTCCTCCTTGGGCTCTTCCACCTGGATGGTGATCCCCAATTCCTCCTCCTCGTTGTCCACTTGAGCACGCAGCGCGAGGTCTTTCTTCATGTACTCCTTCCAGGTGGCACAGTGTTGCATGCTGCGAGGAATGCCAAAGTGTGCATGCTCTGGGCGACCATTACACAGGGTCTGTTCGCACCTGGCCAGCACCGAGCCCCGTCCTCCTTGGTCATGCCAATCATGTCTAGAAAAGCTTGGTCCGGCTCCTCCTGCTTCTTTGCACTGCGCTGCCTAGCCAACATCTGGCAAAGTCAGTCTCCCACACCCTGGCAGGATTTGTTTTTATCCTCGATTCCAACAAGCCAAGAGAAACAGCCTTTGCGGGCGCCATCCTCCCCCCTCCACCCCCCATTCCTCCGCCTGCCAAAGGCCAAGGCAGCCTTCCGCACCACGATCTTCCCACCCTCCACGCTGGTCCGGGCCAGACCCTCCGCCGGCAGCAGCTTCTTCCACCGCTGGCCCCCTGGTCGCCGCTTCGCAGACCGGCCCAACACACTGACTTCAACGGAACTACACAAGAGACTTTTGGGTCCATTCAAGTCTATCCAGTCAATCCTCTCCCCCAGCGAATCCGTGTCTGACGGCCTGGGAGGCTCACGCGCTTCTTGGGGCGATGGGCATCCAACAGCCGCTGCTGGTGCTCCGGCGGAGGTAGCCAGGCCACGCGGTGCTTCTCCGGAGCACGGATGGCCCAGGTGTTGATCATGGGATAAATCTCCTGGCGCATGGCCCTCAGCTCCTGCGATCCGCAGAATGGGCTTCAAGTGTGGGTCGGGATGACTTACTGCAAAATCGACTTCTTGACCTGTAGAATCACGGTGAAACTTGGTGTTTGCTTTTTTTTGTTTGTGGGGAGACAAATGGTGAATACAAAAAATTAAAGTGGCAGGGCAAAACGCAAACCGACGCCCACTGAGCCGGACTGAAGCGTAAGTGTTACCCCCGAAGCCTTGCGGATGCCCCACTGGCCGCGAAAGGGCAGGTGCGGCCTCACGCAGGAAGCTTGGTGCTTGAGGTTGTGCTCCGCATAGCAAGCTTCGCTGCAGTAGAAGACCCCCTCGCACACCTGGCACATCTTGAAGCGGCGTTCCTCGTCCAGCGTAGTCTTGCGGCAGACGCAGCACACCTTGAAAAGCAATTGCCATGATTTAGCTTTGGTAAACCGTCTTGCCCCAACCATGCTGTCAAAACTGGGAGAGCCCCTGAGCCCTGCCTGCACAGGAAACGCGGGGGCGCGCTTCTCCGCAGCCTTCTGCAGCTTCCCGTGCTCGTCTTTCATCGCCCACCAGTCCTCGCGGATCATCTGCACCAGCTGGCAGCTGGTCACCATCACATTGTCCCGCGAGAAGGGTGCCGTCATGTCCAACTCCAAAAGCGTGGAGTTGTTGCACTCCTCCGCGGGCTGGCCGTGTTTGTAGTCCACCCGCCGCTCGCAGTCCTGGCACAACAAATATCGGTCCCGCCAGGGGTTGTCGGGCCGCTCCGTGTAGAGGATCTGGGGAGTGATGGACTTCTTGCCGCTTTGCCTGTGTCTTTGCCGCAGGAAATTGTTCAAAGCGGAGATCTGAGTGTGCCTGATCTGCAAGTGCCGGATCTCACCCACGCTTAAATCTGCTGCCTCATCCTTGGTTTTCTTCGCCTTCGGCTTCATCAAGCCTATCTCCATGACATCGCCAGGCTTCCCCCATTGCTTGATTTTGTGCCCCAGCTGGCTCGGGTCCTTGGCCCGCAGCTGCACACGCCGCCGCCGCACCAGTGGCGCGGCCAACACCAGTGCGCACAGCACGGGCGCGGAGGCCGCGAAGGCCTTGGGCACCCGGCGTGCCGAGGGCGCCGAGGGCGCCGAGGGCGCCGAGGGCGCCGAGGGCGCCGAGGGCGCCGACGCGGGTGACGACCAGGGCGACAAGCGCGAGGCCATGGCGCAGCCTGGCGCCTGGAGCGCCATGGTTGCCGGCTTGAGAGCCCAAGCCACAAATGCCCCCAAGCCTGTTTCATGCCCACAGAACACGTGCAATGCGGCATGCCTCCTTGCCCCGCCAGTCTTTTGGAACCGACTCATGCGGCAAGCGCCAAGTGGCTGGGTTCGCGTGACCCGTGGCCAGGGCCAAAGTCCAATAAAAAAGAGGCGCGACCGAGCTACACGCAGTCCGCATGACCCAGCGGAACATTAACAAGGTAAGAATTGTGAAACTGCCTCGCAGCTGGACAGCAACGCTAACAGCCAGCCAAGAAAACAAAAACAAATGGCATCAGCTGCACAACTCCAGGTCTGTTGCCAATTCAGTCTTAACAAGTTTTGACCAGCACTGTCCGTCCCACCTACCTGCCGGCGTGGTGCACATTAAAATGCCTCAGTTAAGCGGCAACCAAGTACCACAACAATTTGCCTGTTGAGGAGATTGCTTCTTTTACACACTGACATTTGCATTTCTGACAACGCTCCTATTCTGAAAACTCCTTGGGCTCCCCCGCTGGATGTGTGGACCGCCGCAGCAGCACTGCTTCCATGCCGGCTACCACGTCGCGAAAGTGCACCCTGAGACAATCCAAATCACACAATCCAGCCCAAAGAGCTCATGCAGTCAGCGCAGAAAGGGAAGAGCAAGAGACACGGCCGAGACTTGCTTGCTGAAAAAAAAATGCAAGCCTGCCCGCCCAGCCTGCCGTTGGGGTCTGAATGCCTGGCATCCTGGCCATAAGCATGGATGTCGTCACCCACTCAGAATTCTTTATGGTTGCAAAGGCGGCTAAGCACAGAATGCTGTTGTGTTGAACATTCTTTCTACTTTTGCATGTGCACCGCAGTTTTTGTGTATTGCTTGGTTTTCCCTTTTGGGCAACGTCCTCGCGCCTGGCCAAGTTGCACCACACCTCGCGCAAGGTCGCCGAAGTGGATACTCGTGCTCTCCTGGCATGGCAGGCCCTGTGATTGCGAGCGAGGATTTAGAAGCTGCAAATCCAGTCGCATGCCTTGCATGCAGCTTGTAAATCCCAGTCCGCCGTGAGCAATCTTGCCAGTGAAAAAGATGCGAAAATCCTCATGACTGTGTTCTGTCGTCAGTACGACGAGGTAAAGTGCTTTGTTCAATGGCATGCCTCGACCCACTACGCCAAGCGAGGACTCTCACACTGGCCAGTCTGTCAACAAAAGGCAGTCCATCTTTGGCGAATGCCCTTGGGAATCCTTGGGATGGCAACTCAACCCGTGTTGGCCCATGCTAAGCGCCATGAAGAGTATGAAGAGTCAACATTATCACTTTGGTGCAAAAATGACCTCACGGCCCCCTCACCCCCCACGCCTCACCGGTTTTCGACTCTCTGCGTTCTTGCCCCTTTTCCAGCAACTCCAGAACTGCATTATCGATGCTGCCCGCCTCGCACGGAAAGCTGGGCGCAGGCACGGGTGGGTGCATACATGTGCGTTCACTGCACGTGCGCATTTTTCGACCCTCATGATGGCAACTGCCCCGCGCGCTTCTACACTGCAATGCGTCTGGTCGAAGCCAGGCAAAGCGAAAGAATGGCAAGCGATGGCCTGGCCTTGCTTATTTGTGACAATGGCCAGCATTCAGCTACCCAGTGGTCAATGGACACGCTGCTTGCTTGAGAAAAGCAATGCGCCTTCGCTGCTGCTGCCACTCCAGGGGCAGCCGCCACCGACTTGACGTAGAAGGCGCCTGGTTCAATGGCTTCGAGAGAGGCACAGCCGTGGCCTCCGAACTGAACCCGCCTCCCTTGGCGGTCACGCCCGCTGCGGAGAGGTTCATGACCCACTGCGGCAACCTGCCAAGGCCCAACCTCGGAAGGCTCAGCCACCAAAGAGCCTGAAACGACTCGTCCAGGACCCTTGACGCAAATTGATGTGCGCGCCGCTCTTCGTACAATTGCGCCAGCAGAAGTAGCGTGGGACCAGAACTCACAACTGCACCCTGACCCGCACCTTGACTGCATCGCCAAACAAGCACCTTGAGCGCACAACACCGCACCCTGACCAGCACTCTGACTGCATCAAACAAGCATCGCCAACAACCACCACACCACCTTGTGCACACCTAACAGCACCCTGACCGGTACCCACAACGACGGGCCTGTTGCGGGTATCTGTCAGGTTTGGATGCTGCTTTGCTTTGTTTGTTGCACCCAAGGCGTGGTGGCATTGCTACCGCGCTTGTTTGGCAATGCAGTCAGGTTGCGGGTCAGGGTGCTGTTGTGGGTTCTGGTCCGGGTGCTTTGGCATGCTGGAGGTGGTGGGTGCCCTGACCAAGCACTGGCAACTACCACACCATCTTTGGCACACTAAACAGCACCCGCAGCACTCACAGCCCACGGCGGCATCCAGGATGCGTCGCAAACGCAACAGCAACTTAAGCAGACAAACAGCACCCTGACCAGCGCCCGAAACAGCACCCCTGAACAGGGACTGCAACACCAACCTGGCCAACTCGCAAAACGGCCTGCCCCTTTAGAAGCAAGCTATCTGGGGAACAAACCTCAACGCTGGCAGAAATGCAGGTTGAAGACGCTGCTGCCAAGCAAAAAGGGTGTGCTCCGGGGGATATGCATCCCGACTAGCAAATATCAAGGGAAGCAGCTCAACCGCATCCACTAAAAACAGCACAGCAAAGTCCGAAATTTGTTGGTCTTGGAATGTCTCTTTCCGCAAAAATGCTGCCCTCCACTCCGTGCCCATGCGGCCAGCACCAAGCAGCACAAAGGCATTCCGGGTTGCAAAAGCAAACAGGCCCGCCAACAGGCAATGTGCCTGACCCGATGGCTTTTGCAGTCCAAGCCCCGGGCTTCTGGCAAAAGGCATCGGCAAAGTGCGTACAGTTGTGGCGCAGGAGGTCATAGTCAGGCCTTGCTGAAGTGAAAGCAACAAACCTAAGACAAAGTGCCACTTCCACTACAAACCTGCCAACTGGTGAGGCTGGAAACGACGTGCCTGCATGGGACTAAGTCCAAACCCTTCAAGGCTGAGCCCCTTGCCCTCGCCACGTGGCGCTCAGGGATCGCACGATGGCATTGACTTGCTCCTCACTGCAACCTTGCCACGCGGTGGCTTGGGGTTGCCCAACACCCTACATGTGTCACCCACGTGCACAGCTCTGCCCTAGCAGGTGCTGGCGAAGCTTTGAGGGTGAACAGCCCAAATGAGCGCTTGCAGTTGCCTTCTTGGCACAATCCGCGGCCATTGCAGACACAAACCGGATAAACCCACTCAGCTGGCCAAGTAGCGTGTCCGGCCCATGGGGAGCGACTCTCTGAAGGTATGCGCCTGGCCGTCGGCCCAACTATCCCCAGGACATAGCCCTGCGCCCCAAAGTTTAGCTTGTCCAAAGGCAAGAAACTCAATATATGGCGAGCACTCAGGCAGCTCAGTGATGGCAGTGTCCATTGGCCCCCCGTCTCCCTTCCACACCTTGCAGCCTTTCGGCTTACAACTGAAGACTCCAGTGCCTGTACCGCATGCAAACTGAGTGCACAACTTAACTTGCAGCATCAAACGGTGCAAAATCTCCAGCTGCGACATTTTGTCTGTGTGTCTGTGTCTGTGTCGCATGTGTCGGCGCTGCTTGTCGTTGCTGCTGCTAGTGGGCAGTCTTGATGCATTCTGGCCCCTGGCAAACATATTTCCCGATTGAGGGCTGCAATGGTACAAGGCTGGTGCAAGTTTGGCACTGGTTTGGCGAGCTATGCATATGCGTTATGCCTGGACTAGTGAGATACGCCTGCTCCTACCATGGCAAAACTGACCGAAAACGAGGGGATTTCTATCCAGAGCCGATTGAGTGGACCATTGGCCTGTGTGTCAGGGAAGCGGGGGCAGGGTCTTCGGCCTTTCGATTTCCCATAGCTCCACTCCAAGCCGTAGACCTGCGTCAATGGCAGGGAAGCATCAGAATTCCCGGCGCATTAAACTTGAAATGTTTCATTCCAACGCCCGCTTTCTTCAACACATGGGCAAGTTGCGCGTTGTCCCCCAACACTGCCCCTGTCAAAACGTGCCACTGACCTCCGCCTTTTGACAAGCCAGGCATGGCAGCCCATAGAAAAACTGAGCTCACTGCTTCCACTGCAGCATGGAAAATCCCAGTCCCCACTTTGTGGAGAACTTCGTTCACCTCGCTATGGGATAGAGAGGCCCAGAGGCAGCGACTTTTTGGGAGTCAAATGCTAGGGAGCGTCGGCTCACTCACCCAAGCTGCCGGCTACATGAACCGTCTCTTTGTGCGACACATCGTACACGTGCAGGGTCACCTGCAAGCTACGAGTCAGGAGTCAGAGAAAGTTACAAATACCAACTTGGCAAAGACCCAGGATCCTGCCTCCTCCAACTCTTCATCGTCGTCTTCGTCGTCCGAGCTATCACTCGTGCCTGACTTTGTGTCCGCTTTGGCCACTAAGGCGAGCAAAGCATGTCGGAAATGCCGCTAGAAAAGAGGTCACTAAGCACCCACGCCCGCGCAACCCTCTAAACAGAACCACACCATTGCTCCTGAGAAGCTCTTGCTGCAGGTGTTCTGCAGGTGTTCGCCAGACTTTGCATGGGTACTAGCATCCCAAAAAAATTGTCACATGAGAAGTCCTGGACTTGCACTTTCCGCCTACACGCCAGGCAACCAGCTTGGTCAAGCCTTGTTGCTTGAACCAGTCTGCACACGCGCAACCCAAAAAAACAATCTATGATGTGAGTTGCTGACTTCCGCATCCGGATGTCTCACAGGCAGCAGCATGATCTCTTTACGCGCATATGTCCATCCCTTGCCTGGGTGCAAGTGAAACTCCATTCGAGGGCATGGGGCCAAGTTTGCAAAACCTGCAACTTGGACGGACCTTCGACCTCATGATTTAGCCGACTGCGGCGAGCATCAATCTCCCACACACTCGACTGAAACCTCATGCCAGCATGTGCTGGCACTGCCATATACTTCGGCGCCTTGATCCCTCTGCTCTCAGCCATTCTGCGAGGACACATTCTTCGATGACTGCCATCTGCTGTGCAACCCGACATGAGAAGTAAAAACATTTCCTGAAAAGCAAACTAAATGAACGTGTCGACAAAAGTCCGAAGCATCAACGGCCACTTCCTATGAAGCACAAGATGAAAACTTAAAAAGGGCACAACCGTGTGGTCTTGAACAAGGCTGGTCTCCGGCGCTCCACCAGGCGTCCGCATGGCGAAGTGCTAAAGCCAAGAGCGACCCAAACTCTAAAGCTTTCCGCGATACGCTAACATTCACCACGCCAGCACGGCCCCAAGGTTGACTGACGAAAGAGAGGTGGAGTTGGGGCCTACAGCCCCATGAAGCCTAAGGCGAAAAGAACTTGAGGGGCAACTGTGCTGGCGCCGGTACTTCGCTGGGTGTCAGCTGGCTTCTCACTCCAGTGCCTGCCCACGCAGCAGTGAAGATTAAGATTGTGGAAACATGCAGTCGGCGTAATCCAGTCAAGCTGTTTCCAAGGCACGGAAGCTTCCTCAAAGATTCTGCCGGGTTCCACCATGTCTGACGGATTGCTCAAACTGAAATGGGTGGAAACATGTGAAGATATCAAGGGCACATACAAGTGAGCACTGCTCAGAGATTGTTTGAGGGCTGCATCATGCAGGTGTTGTCACATTGGTCATGGCTTCACGCTTGCCCTAGCGAGGAGGCCAATGGTCAAACGGCTTCGATCTATCTCAGGAGCAGGCCATCTTCGGCTCCTGTGGCCCTCTGCTGGTGGTTGCGGCCTGGCAGTTGCACGGGAGCTACTCAGCTAGGGGGGATGTCCTTCTCCGAAAAGTTCAGCCACAAGGCGGCACCGCTGAGAAAGCAACACATGTTGCAGAATCCCTCGGAGGCAACCAACAACAAATTGGCACAAAGCCAACAAATTGGCACGCCAAGCATCTTGAACTGCATGCGCTTCCATTTGCCATGCGGCGATGCAGGAAATGCGGCCATCGGCACATGCGAAGCCCGCCTCTGCCGCATCCAGCACCATGGTTGCAGCGCCCAGCACGGAGTTCAGCGGGCCACCCGCGGAGACCTGAGAGAACGCAGCCCTACGCAAGGGCCCTCAGCAATGAAAACAGGGAACCAAGCGTCTAAGTTCAGGGAACGCAACTTTTGAACCCAACCTCAACCTCTGAGTTGCATTCTGAAAGCCGTGCTTTGCCGAAATCCGCCGACCGCTTTCTCCAAAGGGAAGGCGCATGGGAAGGGTTTATCTTTGTCCTTGTCTTAGTGATGATTATCATCACCACTGATGTTGGGTGATGGTTCACAGCTCTTCTTTTCATATACGTTTCAAGTGTGCCGTTAGACCCGCCTGGAAATGCAGAGGATGCGTTGTCACGATTGTCATGATAGCTGCTGCTGATGCTGGGGATGCATAGTGATGACGTTAACTGCTGGTGATGCTGAGGATGCGTAGTCATGATTATCATCAGGATGATGATGATGAACATCACGAAGGCCACAAAGATGAAAATGATGATGATGATGAAAATGAAGATGATGATGGTTTTGCTATGATGATGGTGGTGCTCATCATCATGATCATCAACATCATGTTCATCATGTTCGCACCATCATCATCATGTTCATCATCATGTTCATCATCATCATCATCATCTTCATCATCATCATCATGTTCATCATCATTTTCATGATCATGATCCTCATCATGTTCATCATCAAAACCGTGGCGCTCTTCTTTTCTGATGATGATAATGATGATGAGCATCATGAGTGCTACAAGGAGGAAAATGATGATGAGGAGGATAAACATGATGACTAAAAATGATGATGATGATCGTGATCATGATGAACATGATGATGAAAATGATGATGGTGGCGGTCATCATCATCATCATCATGTTCATCATCATGTTATGTTCATCATCATCATGATCTTCAGCATTAGCATCATCATGTTCATCATGCCCATCATGTTCATCATCATCATCATTTTCATCATCATGTTCCTCATCGCGTTCTTTTTTCAGAGAGGTTTCAAGTTTGCTGTTGGACCTGACTGGAAATGCAGAGGATGCGTTGTCATGATTGTCATGATAACTGCTGCTGATGCTGGGGATGCATAGTGATGGCGTTAACTGCTGGTGATGCTGAGGATGCGTAGTCATGATTATCATCAGGATGATGATGATGATGAACATCATGAAGGCCACAAAGATGAAAATGATGATGATGATGAAAATGAAGATGATGATGGTTTTGCTATGATGATGGTGGTGCTCATCATCATGATCATCAACATCATGTTCATCATGTTCATCATGTTCGCACCATCATCATCATGTTCATCATCATGTTCATCACCACCATCGTTTTCATCATCATCATCATGTTCATCATCATCATCATCTTCATCATCATGATGCTCATCATGTTCATCATCAAAACCGTGGCGCTCTTCTTTTCTGATGATGATGATGATGATGACCATCATGAGGGCTACAAGGAAGAAAATGATGATGAGGATACACATGATGACTAAAAATGATGATGATAATCGCGATCATGATGAACATGATGATGAAAATGATGATAGTGGCGTTCATCATCATCATCGTGTTCATCATCATCATCATGTTCATCATCATGTTATGTTCATCATCATCATCATCTTCATCATTAGCATCATCATGTTCATCACGCTCATCATGTTCATCATCATCACCATTTTCATCATCATGTTCCTCATCGCGCTCTTCTTTATCATATACGTTTCAAGTTTGCTGTTGGACCTGACTTGACATGCAGAGGATGCGTTGTCATGATTGTCATGACAACTGCTGCTGATGCTGGGGATGAATAGCAATGACGTTAACTGCTGGCGCTGCTGAGGATGCGTAGTGATGATTATCATCAGGATGATGATGATGAACATCATGAAGGCCACGGTGATGAAAATGACGATGATGATGATGAAAATGATGATGACGATGATGGTTTTGCTATGATGTTGGTGGTTTTTGTTCATCATCATCATCATCATCATCATCATCATCATGTTCATCATGTTCATCATGTTCATCATGTTCATCATGTTCGCATCATCATCATCATGTTCATCATCATGTTCATCATCATGTTCATCATCATCATCATCATCGTTTTCATCATCATGATCCTCATCATGTTCATCATCAAAACCGTGGTGCTCTTCTTTTCCCGAAAGCATGGCGAAGGGCTCTTCCGCCGGGTTCACTTGAGTTGTTCTCATGAGAGTCCTTGCAGGGAGTCGTTGCAAGGAGTCATCATCATGAAAGTCATTGCAAGGTGTCATTGCAAGGAATCATCCTCATGAAAGTCATTTCATGAAAGTCATGGCAAGGAGTCATTGCAAGGAGGGAGTCATTGCAAGGAGTCATTGCAAGGAGTCATTGCAAGGAGTCATGAGAGTCATTGCAAGTTGCAAGGAGCCAAGTGCATCGAGTCAAGCGCAAGTTGCAAGTGCGTGGAGTCAAGTGCAACTTGCAAGTGCGTAGAGTCAAGTGCAAGTTGCAAGTGCAAGGAGTCAAGTGCAATTGACTTGCGAGGAGTTACAATCTCTTCGTAGGGCGGCGGGGTAGTGCCGACGACACTCTACGAAAACCGACCCTCTGCGGGGGTTGGCGTCGTCGAGGTGCAAAAACTCGTGGTTTGTTTTTTGCGATTTTGTTTTGGCTCGCGCGACCCTCTGCGGGGATCGGCGTGGTCGAGGTGCAAACACTTGTGCAAAAACTCGAGGGTTTTTACGATTTCTGCGGTGCTCGCGCGATCGGCATGGTCGAGGTGCGAAAACTACAGGTTTTTTTACCGATGTCTGCGGCGCTTGCGCGACCTTCTGCGGGAATCGGCACTCGAGTTTTTTTTGCGACTGTTGTTGTTCGAACTGGTCCTCGGGAGTTGTCTTGTGGTTCGCGCGCCTGCTCTCGGGACCGGCGGGTCGCGGGTTCGATTCCCCCCCGGTCCGCGGGCGGGCTTCGCAAGCTGCGCGGAGCAACTTGCATAGAGCAACTTGCGCAGAGCAACTTGCGCAGAGCCAGTTGCACAGACCATTTTGCACAGAGCAACTTGCGCAGAGCAACTTGCGCAGAGCAACTTGCACAGACCAGTTTGCGCAGAGCACCTCGCCCAGAGCAACTTGCGCAGAGCAACTTACGCAAAGCAACTTGCACAAAGCAACTTGCACAGAGCAGCTTGCACAGAGCAACTTGCGCAGAGCTGCACAGAACAACTTGCACAGAGCAACTTGTGCAGAGACATTTACACAGAGTCAATTGCACAGAGCTTCTTGCACAGAGCAACTTGCACACAGAGCAACTTGCACAGAGCAGCTTGCACAAAGCAATGTGCGCAGAGCAACTTTGACAGTGCAACTTGCGCAGAGCAACTTGCACAGAACAACTTGCACAGAGCAACTTGTACAAAGACATTTGCACAGAGTCAGCTGCACAGAGCTTCTCGCACAGAGCAAGCTTGCACAAAGCAACTTGCGCAGAGCAACTTGCGCAGAGCAACAGAGCAACTTGCACAGAGCAACTTGCACAGAGCAGCGTGCACAGAGCAACTTGCAGGGAGCAACTTGCACGGAGCAACTTGCACGGAGCAACTTGCGCAAAGCAACTTGCACAGAGCAACTTGCGCAGAGCAACTTGCGCAGAGCAACTTGCACAGACCAGTTTGCGCAAAGCACCTTGCCCAGAGCAACTTGCGCAGAATGGTCACGGGGCTGTGATGCTTCCGGGCCAACCGTGGTCTAGTTTCTGACGATGATGATGATGATGATGAACATCATGAGGGCTACAAGGAAGAAAATGATGATGAGCAGGATGAACATGATGACGAAAAATGATGATGATGATGATGATGATCATGATGATGATCATGATGATGATCATGATGATGATCATGATCATGATGAACATGATGATGTAAATGATGATGATGATGAACATGATGATAAAAATGATGATGCTGATGATGATGAATATGACGATGGTGGTGTTGATCACCATCATCATCATCATCATCATCATCATCATCATCATCACATCATCATCATCATGTTATCATCATCATCATCTTCATCATCATCATCATGTTCATCATCATCATCATCATCATCATCATCATCATGTTCCTCATCATGTTCATCATCAAAACCGTGGCGCTCTTATTTTTCCTATTCGATGTCATGATTGTCATGATAACTGCTGCTGATGCTGGGGATGCATAGTGATGACGTTAACTGCTGGTGATGCTGAGGATGCGTAATGATGATTATCATCAGGGTGATGATGATGATGAACATCATGAAAATGATGATGATGATGGACATGATGATGAAAATGATGATGGTAGTGTTCAACCCCATCATCAGCATCATGTTCATCATCATGTTCATCATGTTCATCATATACGTCAAGTGTGCCGTTAGACCCGACTGGAAATGCAGCGGATGCGTTGTCATGATTGTCATGATAACTGCTGCTGATGCTGGGGATGCATAGGTGATGATGATGATGCTGATGATGTTGGTGATGATGATGAATATGATGAGGAACATGATGACGAAAATGATGATGATGATGATGAACATGATGATGAAAATGATGATGTTGATGATCATCATGAAAATGATGATGATGATGATGATGATGAACATGATGAGGAACATGATCATGAACCGAGGGACCCCTATGTAGGGGGGAGGGGGGACCCCCACATATACATTTAAGCTGCGACCACAATCCTACCGCACCCCCCCCAATATACATAAAAATCCGCTTTTGCTGGGTTTTGCCCCAAACATCAGCAAGAGACCAAAGCCAAGCAGGCCCATGGCAGACCCTGAAAAACTCCAGCTGCGCAAAAGAAACGGCGCCCACACACAACAAGCAAATTAGGAGCCCTCCTGAAAGACGCCCCACTTCACGCAAGTGATCAGCCCGACAAGTAGGCCCTGAAAGAAACAAGCTTCGCAAAAAAACGGGGGCCACACACAAAAAGAAAAATTACAAGCCCTACCAAAGCAGC